ACATCAGGCGTCCTTGCTCTGCTCCTGCTAAACCTGGGACTGATCGGAGCAAATACTGCCAATATTATCGAAGTCATGGACACCTGACCGAAGACTTTGTCCATCTCAAAGATTCTATTGAGACCCTCATTAAAGGGGGAAGGGTCGGGGCAATATCAGCACAGTGACGCCCCTCGTCGAGATTCTCGCGAAACAAAGGAGATTAAGGAGGATGCCCGGCCATCAGATGAGATGGTCCCCATCTAGACAACATTCTTCATTACAAGACCAGAGGACTTCTACGTCCCCGACGATATCGAAGAGCCTCTGTCCATACACAGTAGGTGGGAAAGGTTCCCCTCCTCCATGGTCATAAATAACGGGGGGTTCAACTATATAACCATAAACTCTGCGAAGAGGAAACTGGACGAATTGGTCAACATGGCCCCCTACAAACAGTGACGTTCGAGAGGGTTAAGGGTAGATCGGAGCCGATCACGTTCTACCTCGAAGAATTTCCCGGAGGTGCCCCTAACTCAAGCATCCCTCTTCTGGTTAGGGCAAGAATGGTTAACTTTGATGTTCATCGCATTTTGGTCGAAGAAGGGAGTACCGTCGACGTGATGTATAGCCAACTCTTTTGAACCCTGCAGCTCGATGACACCTACCTTTCACCATACGTGGGGTCTGACCTGCAAGGTTTCAATGGCTTGACCTCCAAACTGTGGGGGTATGTGGAACTCTTCATCACCTTCGGCTAGGATACCGCCACCAGGTAAGTCAAGGTGCAATTTCTGGTTATCGACTGCCTGTCTCTCTACAATTGTATCCTAGGGAGACCAACACTGGAAGAATTGACCGTTGTTCCCTCTGCCGTCCATATGAAGATGAAATTCTACACAAAGAGAGGACGCATCGCCACCATCCAGGGCTACCTAGCAGCTTCCCAAAGATGCTTCAACACGGTGTTAAAGGGACAGAGTACGGTCGATGTTGGAGCACTACCCGCCAAGAGAGCTGATACAGCACGACCAGAGCCATAGCCCGTCAAGACATAAGAACGGAGAGCTCCTCCAAAGGTCGGCTCAATTTCATTGGAAACCCACTTCGAGCAAGAAGAAGCACCCAACGCCGAGCAGGGACTCCTTCGACCAATCCAGATGGAGCCTTTGAGCTCGTCCCCCTCGGTGAATACCCTCACAAAGGCATGAAGATCGACACCGAACTCCCTGACCTGGAGAGGAAGCAGATCAAGGCTTGCTTGAGGGAAAATGTGGACCTGTTCGCGTGGAGTGCTGCAGAGATACCCGGTCTCGACCCCGAGGTCGCTTGCCACCAACTGGTCATTGATCTAGCCACTAGGGTAATAGTACAACATAGACGTTGGCAGTCTCTCGAGAAAGCGGAGGCTGCTGAAAATGCTGTAAAAGACCTCATAGAGGCAAATTTTATTTTTGAGGCCAGGTATTCAACCTGGCTGTCAAATGTTGTACTAGTTAAAAAGAATAATGGAAAATGGCATATATGTGTTGACTATACCGATCTTAACCGGGCATTCCCCAAAGATGCATTCCCCTTGCCTAATATTGACATGCTGGTCGACAACTTGGTCGGCTATAAAATTTTATCTTTCATGGACGCCTACTCGGGATACAACCAAATTCCGATGGCGATGAGCGACAAGCACTGCACCGCTTTCATGACCAACTCGGGTAATTATTACTACAATGTAATTCCCTTCGGTTTGAAAAACACAGGGGCAACATACCAGCGGATGATGAATAAAGTCTTCTGCAACGAGATCAGAGATATGCTCGAGGTATACATAGACGACATGATCGTCAAATCTCGAGTAGACATCGACCATGCTGCCCACCTCAGAAAGGTCTTTGCCCAAGCGAGACAATGTAGAATGGGATTCAATCCCGAGAAGTGCATGTTCGGGGTTAAAGCGGACAAGTTCCTCAGTTTTTACCTAACACAATAGGGAATTGAAGCCAACCCCGATAAATGCCTAGCGTTCTCCGAGCTACCTACACCTAATTCGAAGAAATCAATACAAGTGCTAAACAGAATGCTTACCTCGATTTCCCGTTTCGTGGCGAAATCCGCACAACACGCCCTTCAATTTTCAAAATTCTGCGTAAAGAGGCCGTTTTCGAATGGAACAAGGAATGCGAGCAAACCCTCCTCCATCTCAAGAAAAACCTTTCACAACCACCCATATTATCACAACCTGCAGACGGGGAGACCTTATTCCTATATCTGGCTGTATCCATCGAGGTTGTGAGCGCGAACCTCATTCGCGAGACTCCTGACGGACAGAAGCCACTATATTTTACGAGCAAAGCACTTCAAGGGCCCGAGGTCAGGTACCAACAAATCGAAAAGGTGGCCTTTTCCCCCGTTAATGAAGCAAGAAGGCTCAGACACTACTTCCTGCCACACACAATCATCCTACGAACAAACCAACCTGTAAGACAACTCTTAAGTCGACCAGACATGGCAGTATGAATGCTAAAATGATCCTTGGCGCTTTCAGAGTTCGACGTCCAATACGAAAGCAGGAAGGCCCTTAAGGCCTAAGCTCTGGCCGACTTCATCGCAAAGATGACCGCTCACAACCCTCTCGCGGGGAAAGAACACAAGTGGACCATCTTTGTAGACGGAGCTTCCAGCTTGATAGGAAGTGGAGCAGGAATGCTCCTCGAAAATGAGGAAGGCGTTGTGATCGAGCATTCTCTCATTATTTCCTTTGCGACCTCGAACAATCAGGCTAAATACGAGGCCTTGCTCGCGGGATTAAGACTAGCTGAGGACCTTGGCGCCCAAGAGATATAAATTTTCACGGACTCCCAACTTGTCGCATCTCAAGTTCAATGGGGATACCAGGCTAAGAACAACAGCCTCATTGAATATTTAAACCTGGTCAGAGAACATATGAAAAAGTTTGACCGAGCAGAAATTACGCACGTGCCACGTGAACAGAACACACGGGCCAACATACTTTCAAAGCTCGCGAGCACGAAGAAGAAAGGAGGGAACAAATCCTTCATAAAAGAATCCCTTTCCCGCCCAAGCATTGAGAGGTCCACTGTGTCGTCCGAAGTGAATGCCATCGGGGACAACTCATGTTGGATGACCCCGGTGTTCAATTTCCTAACAAATGGGGAGCTTCTCGTAGATCAAAGAGAGGCGACTGCGACCAAATGACAAGCCTGCTCGTATGTGGTACTTGAACACAAGCTTTACCCACGGGGATTCTCCATCACACTCCTAAAATGTGACCAAGAGTCTGCAGTCCCCGAGATACTGCGGGAAATCCATGAGGGAATCAACGCCCAACACATGGGCAGAAGATCCCTAGCATGAAAGGCACTGCGAGCGGGATACTACTGACCGACCATGGAACAAGACGCCAAGGAGCATGTCAAGAAATGTGACGAGTGTCAGAGGCACGCAGACATGCATCTCGCACCTCCACACGAGCAGCTAACACTATCCTCCCATTGGCCATTCGCATGGTGGGGAATGGATATCCTTGGACCTTTCGTGTAAGGAACATATCTAAACAAGTTCCTCATCGTAGCCGTCGACTACTTCACGAAGTGGATAGAAGCCGAAGCTCTGGTCAAAATCACTTCACACAACATCCTCGATTTCTACAAGCGAAACGTACTTGCTCGGTTCGAAATACCGCGAGCGTTCGCCACTGACAACGGGACACAATACATTAGAAAATTTGAGCAAGGTTGAAAAATGATAGATTTGGGGTTCTCACCCACACTTTTTTCTCTGGCTTAGAGGATGTTTTTGCTAGAAATAAGGAAGGGAAAGTCTAACACTTATTAGATTAAAAACATGTCCATATATATATATATATATATATATATATATATATATATATATATATATATATATATATATATATATATATATATATATATTTGTTTTTTTATAGATATATCTTCGTACTAAATTTTAATAAAATAAAAGTATGACTTGGTGAGATGAGGTGCGTTCAATAAAATATATTTTCATATCATGAAGGCATTTTTTTTCTCACAATTATGGGTGAGCACCACTAAGAGTGCATAAGCAATCCCCTTTTTTTCTAAAATGAAATTAGAGGTCAAACTTTTATAAAAACTTATTTTAGGTGATTCTTCATAAATCCGAATACTATTATTTTTAAAAAAATAATAATAAATCTGAAATACCCTCCATAAATGGTAAACTTGTAGTATTAGTACAAAATTTACTGCGAAATAACAATTGCAAGAAATTCCATAAACTTTAAATATAAATTATTTCTGTAATAAAAAAATAAAATATAAGTTAATTCTTTTCACATAAACTTTAAACTCTTTGCATGAATAATCATGAAAAGTTTAAAAATAATAAATTGAAAATTATTTATAAACGGCTTTTATAAGTTATTCCAAACAATTTTAAAAATTCAAATAAATTAACACATACATATTATTATAAAAAAATAGCTCATGCAAGAGGTTCCCAATTTTGTCTGGGCTGTAATTTGAGACTTTAAGCATTCGGACCGATCCTGAATATTTAAAACACGTGAAAGGAAAAAAAAGGTTTTGAAAGGAGTACCCCCACATCATATTGGTGTACCCCTACAATTTTCAAAAACCCAAAATTTCCTTTATTACCATATTCTTTCTTCATTTTCTCCCATTTACTATTACAAATTTGAAATCCTTCAAAGTATTCATTTCCTATGAAACTAAATCTCAGAAAATAAAAGGACAATGTTGTATACACATGCATGGAGTAAAATGGAAAAGAATGAGAAGATTAAAAAATGCACTAAAAGAACTTCTTGAAAGACCAATGCATTTCAAGTTGAATATTTCATCACCTTAGAGTAATGACACAAACAGAAGTCCAGAAGTTAACGTTTTCACAGTTACAATCAGATGGCTCTCAGCAGTAACAGGTGAGCACAGAAACAGAAAAATTACTACACTAAACCACCCATCACATTAACTATATAAACATTAGTGCTTATCGTCCTTATGAATGTCTTTAACTTTCGATTCAAGTTCCTTTTTAGTCTGCTCCATTTTCCTGAAATAGACAATACAAAATATGAGAAGGATTTGTCACTATTAGAATTAGAGTTTGACCTAACTCATCTCTACAAAACCAGTTATTAAGATGAGGGATTTTATTCTATATATGTCGGTAAACCCCTTCCTTGATTCTATTTGATATTCTTTATGTTTTACTCACGTGAAAATAGCATACAGGAAGAATGAATACATTAATAACTACAAATGAAAATGTAACACATCCAAAAGACAGCATAGTGCAGATAATCTAACAGAAAACATCAAGAAATTCAAAGACATCAAATTATTATTTGAAAATACTCATAGCTTATGTTTTTTTTTTTCCTTATGGTTAACTCAATGAAATAGAACATCACATGAAAAAAGAGAGGAAAATCCTTTTTTGAGTCCTACTAACAAACCAACAACCAATTCAACAACGGAGTGAATGATTCAGCATGTTTATAGAATGGTTTGAAATCGCAGCTGTAGATGTCTTGTTTCCCTTCCAAATCCTATCCGATCTAGCACATTGTCTTACAAGATTTTGAGACTAATTGTTAAATCTCTACTAGTTAATGATGGAACACCCGAAAATAGAACTGCCAAAACAAAACTGCGTTAAGTTTCCATGTTGCAATATGTAAGAGCGAATTTCATTATTTTCATACTTGGATAGAAACATCTAACCCAACACTGACACATAAATAACGAAAATAATTTAAGAAACATAGGAACGAACAAATGAAACTACATGTGTCAGTATCGTATTGTTGTTTAACACCAGAGACACCATCGCTATGAAGGATTAGTGCTACATAGTGTTCATCTACTTCTTGCTATATGCATTCCTCCAGTCGTTTTATCCGCAAACAAACAGAAGGATCCCCAAGACAAAAACTTACGCATATTGTTCAAAAAATCTAAAGTCAATGTACAATATTTCACTTGAAATTTTCTCATCGATCTCTCCAAGGGACGAGAAAAAAACGGCTAATCTGATCAGCTCAATTTCAACATCAGCTACAAAAGTCATTCCAGCATTACAAATATTATAACTCCTAATACACTAACTTTCGAGTAAAAAACTAGTATTAAGCTCTAATTACACAAACTAAAAACAGAGTTTTTGGCAATACAACAAGTTTGTTAAACAAGCAACCAAATAGCAAAAAATGGCTTAATAGTTCAATAATAAACATTTTATATATACGATTCCAGATTGCACGTCTACCATAAGTGTTTTGAGATTACACATATCAGATTAGATCAGTGTTGTCTATGGCGGACAGCCAAAATCCCGCCATACCATGGCAGAAAAACTCGCAATATCAGGCGATACTCACCATTGCAACAAGCCCAAAATTTGCCATTTATATCAGGCATAGGGCTGCCGTGGCGGATATTTGATAATACTGGATTTGATCCCCTTAATTTTTCCACAAAATCTAATTCCTTATCAACGAATCACTTAGGTACCGACACCTCTGGAAAAAAAGATCGTGTCTGTGTCTGTGTCCGTGTCAGTGTTGAACAATTTCACTGACATTTCAAATTATTATCGGTATCACTGTGTCTTGTTCGAGGTGTATGTATAAACACTAAATTGACACCAATATGTTGACATATGGGAAATCATTTGAAAAAGTAAAGAAACACCAAAGATCAACCATTCAACGGTGGAGATTAAAATTTAGAAAACCTAAAAATTTTAAACAAAGAAAATGAGAAAAATTGGTTACTTTGAAGAATTGGCGGTTTCTTCTTCTAGCCAGTGGCGAATTTGTTTGACGTTGCGTTTGAAAATCGACGCGGATTGCTTCACGTCGCTCCTTAGAAGAAGGACGACGGCGCTTACGCCGGCCACCGTCAGTACGAAATTCGTCAGACCCATAACTCCTCTTTGCACAAAATTGATATTTTACTGGTTAAATGTGTGAATTTAGAAGTTTTTTTAAAATGAATTATCATATTTTCTGGAATGCTTTTAAAAAATATTTATTTAAAAATAATGCTAACTTGTGCTCTAAGTTAAAAGAATTAAATAAAAAAAATATTTTGAAAATTGTGCAATAATTTTACTAAAAATATATAGTTATTTTTATTGTTTTTTAATATAATTTTTTTGATATATATACTTAGGACAAAGTTAGCATGACTCTATTTTTAATAATAAAGAAGTTTTGATTTTATTTTTTTTAATTTAAATTGATAATATAAAGTAAATTTTTTATTCATGTATTATGAGGCAAGTATATAATACTTTTTAAAATAAATTCGATTTAATGAGTTTGTATACTATTATTATCACATTAGTTGAATCTTTAAAAATATTTCACTTTAATCACATATATATATATATATATATATATATATATATATATATATATATATATATATATATATATATATATATCTTAAATATTTGACACTTAAGATGAAAGTTAACATTGTTACAATGGAATTCTTTAATGTATCAATATTTTAAAATTTTAATTGAATTATAAAATAAAAATATATTATATTATTGTAATAAAATTAAATATTCACAAATTTGTATCAAATAAGTATTTTCATAAAAAGTAGCATTAAAAAGATTATCTTAGAAAAACGTGAATTCATCTTCATCTTCAACTCAATAAAAAATTTAATCCTTTTACAACATCATCTTCATTAGTGGATTCATATTCAACTTGATTAAATTCATCTCTATATGATAAAGGTTCTTCACTATTATAATCAATCTATGAATGTGAATAAAACTAAAAAGCGTAAGAGAAGTTTTCATGAGGCAAAATATAAAATATGTTTTTTAAAATTTGACAAAAAAAGGTAAAATCAGGTCAAAGAGTAAAATTCCATGATTTTACACCATTTCATCGATTTCAGAGCAATTTAAATCATTTAAAATCGTTTCAGAATACGATTTTACATAAAAGGTTATCACATATAATTTAATATGAAATGTTGACCTAAAAACATGAAATTTATAGAGTTTAGTTTTAAATTGCGATTTTAACAATGTTCGTTAAGGTGGCTATTTTATGTGGCGTTCTAAAATTTAAATAAAATTTTCTATTTTACATGGTAGTGTTTATTATTTCAGCAACCAACAACAAAAGTAATTTGATTTAAATTTTAAAAAATTAATTAATTAAATTTAAAATTAAATTTCGTCAATCAATGTAGTAATCATGCACTACTATAAAACGCACAAACAACAACGCCTAATTCATCACGGTTCTTCCCAACACCGTAGTGACATCTCTAAACTCAGGCGCTAACATTTTATTTCATTTTTTTTATTACAAATATTTAGCATATAATAAGGGTGCAGCCATAACCGTGGTTATAGAACCCAGGTTTTCATGGGTTCGAACCTCGGTGCCCTCACATTTATTAATATTATTCATTTAACGTTAAGACGCGTCTTTTCTATTTTATTTATTTTTATATATACTCACATTTATTAATATTATTCATTTAACGTTAAGACGCGTCTTTTCTATTTTATTTATTTTTATATATAAAATAAAGGGTTACGACTTCGGTTGTTTTGTCCAACCGTTGTGAGGATATTTATATATAAGCGAATTAACTCTCATCCTTTCACGATAGCGTCGTATCTTTCACAATAAAATCCTAGAACCCATTTTTTCTCTTCTTCTTACATTAAGGTATTCTTCTTTTTCCTTATTCTCTCGTTTTCGTGTATGTTATTGTTATGTTTCACATGGTTTTCCTTCTTGTTAGATAGTTTATGGTTTTTTATTGTTGTATGTTGTTCTAAGTTTGCGGTTTCACATGTTGATAATTTTCATGGTGTTTGTAGGACTCAAAAAAGTGAATGAAGAAACAACAACAGCAGCAAACTTCATCTAATTTTAGAAGTTATGAAAACAAATATAAGAAAATGAAGTTATTGTGTTAACTTGATCCACCTTATATTTCTTTTTCATTGCTTTACAAACTAGATGAACCTCATATGGTGATGATGATGGTGGTAGCAAGTGTATGGTATATTCTCATGCTTTCTCTTCTCTGTTGATACTTATAAGTTCAAATTTCTGGGTTTAGAGTTTTGCTGATATGTGTGGTTGTATTGTGATGACGCCCATGATTGAACTTTGTTGTGTTTTGCCGTAGCTTATGGTGTTCAATGGTTAAGGGGATGATAACAAGCGTATAGTAGGATTTGATAGTAGGAAATGGATGATTGATGGCAATATGATGAAGTACTTTAAATTCTTATATAGGTTGACAAAAATGGTTAGTCAGCTCTCTCAATCCATGTAAATTAATTTTATGTTTTTGTTGATAAATATTGTTAGTGAGTTTGTTATATCATATGAGACTGCTTGTTTCACTAACCCCTCATTGATCCTGCATTCATTTAAAAAGATTTTTAAAATAATTATTTAAAAAATTAAGTTATTCTTGAAAATCAACTTAGACGATCCAATGTTTTTTCGAATTTCATACATCTTGTAAATCATAATTCCCTCTTTAGCATATAGAATTTTATTCAATGTCACAAAATTTCCAAAATAATGTTGATATATGGGGGCCATTCTGGGTCTATCACACAAAACTTGATGTTTGAAAAATAAAGTTGAAAAGAATAGGAAATCAATTTTTTTGTGAAAGACTCAGACTGACATCCATTTATCAACATTACTTTGAAGAATTTGGGATTGAATCAAATCTTATAGGCTAAAGAGGAAATCATGATTTAAAAGATCTTGCAATTCAAAAAATATTGGATCTTTTAAGTTGTTTTTCAAGAATAACTTAATTTTCCTGATTATTATCTCAAAAATCTATTTGAATGGTTGTATATGGTTAATGATGGGTAGGAAAAAACAAGCAATCCCATATTTTATAATAAACTCTTAAATATACCATAACAGTTGGAACTTATAACCATGGTGAAATGATATTTTTTATGCTCTTTAATTTTGGTAGTAGCTGAGTATCGAACCCATGCCACTATATATATGACAACAGTTGTTTACGTCAAACGTTGTGATAGATAGTTTACTACAATAGTCAACATATGGTCCCGAACCATAATTATAAGTGACGCATGTACAATCACACGCTACATAACAACGTCTGGTCCCACGTGATTATTTAACTTTCCCAACCGTTGTTGAATGTCTTTTCCGTAGTAGTGATGCTATTAAATATAATAGTAACATTCATAGTAATGTATACAAAAAATAGAAGATAAGCAAACAATAAATTGTAATGCTATCCCATTTTTGATAGCAAACTCATTCCTCTTAAAACCTACATCATAATCTTATATCACAATATTACTATGCACGAGCCTTTTGGATTTTCTTCAAAAGATATGTTGCATATGGTAAGGAAGCCAAAAGTGTCTAACGCAAATATTATGAAAGAATTTTGGTTTTCTTGAACATGTTTTCTCATGTTTGACCACTTTACTTGAAACAGATTTTTAGAGCTGCTTGTCCTACAATAAATCATCTAGCCTTCAGTTCCACAAAGGGGAAACTTCAATCAAGTTCACAAATATATGCTTCCCTCCCTCCCAGCCATAAACCAAAATATTGGTTGTCGCAAGAGTCGATCTTCCATCCTAAAGTTCGGTCAAGAAATCCATTGGCTTCTCTTTCTTTATAGATAATACAGTCTGCTGAAATATATCAAACAAAACATCACCCCAACAAGGTCCTGCCAATATTTGAGTTTTGGAAGCTCTCAACAATGAACTGCGTGTTTCCCAAATTTATCATAGACTAATCACGCTAGTGTTATCATATTTGATTGGGGTGCACCCTAATTTAAATTATAGTCCAATAATTTTTGCTTTATCCAAAGGACTTGTGTGGAACAAATACCACCAATTATGTATTTGGCATCGACGATAGAAAGTGCAACATCATGTTGCTTCTTACTACGCCACGAGATTAGATAATTTCCAAAAATGTGACATGTGTCACTAGTACCCTTCCTATTTGATTTTCACCTCCATGGATTCAAAATCAAAGAAGTCTACCAAACTACATTCACTTCTATTAGGGAACCAAATACTAAGGTTTGAAGTACCACTTAGGTATATTAAAATACATTTTATGGTCTTAAAGTAATTATCTACGGAAAGCTTAAAATCTAGTGCATATACATACGTTAAACATAATTTCAGAATGACTTGTTATTAAATAAAGAAAAGATCTGACTATACCTCGATACTTGATTATGTCGATCTCTTTTCCCATTTCATCTTTGTCAATGAAAAAGCTTGAAGCAATTGGGGTAGAGATGGACTTAGCATCACTCATACCATACTTCTTAAGGACTTCTAAGCACTATTTTTTGACTTAAAAAGTTCTCTTATCAATTAGCTTGATTTGGAGGCCCGAGAAGTATATTTTATCCATTAAGGACATTTCAAACTCGCCCTGCATAGTGCTAGAAAATTATCTAGACAAAGGCTCATTAGCAGACTCAAATCAATGTTTTATAAATAAATAGTGTCTACAATTTCACAATTAAATCTTTTTCCCTATTAAGAAACCACTTAGGCGTTCATACCAAGCTCTAGGAGCTTGTTTCAAACCATAAAAGGCTCTTTTTAGTTTGAAAACATGGTCAGAATTTTCACGGTCCTCAAAATCTGGAGGTTGAGAAACATATACATCTTAATTTATAAAACCATTTAGGAAATAAGACTTAATGTCCATTTTATATAATTTAAAATTAAAACAATAAGACTTAATGTCCATCTAATAGATTCGAGACAAGATACAAGAGCATAACTTTCCTCATAGTCTATCCCTTCAGCTTGATTATATCCTTTTGCTACAAGCCTTTCTTTATTTCTTGTATTTATTTTATTTTCGTCGAGTTTATTCTAAAAATCCC